CAACTACACATCGCTATGTAAAGAACAATCATTCCGTTGCCTTATTCGATTTTACTTATTTCATAAATGGTTTGCGTTGGCTATTTCAAATGCCATCCGAATTCGGCTCAGTGGTTTAGGGGAGGTCCTGGCGTTTGCTCTTTCTGCAACTCAGGTGCAATCGAAAATATTATTCATTTCCAGCTGAATGTTCAATCCATGGTGAAATCCGTCGACTCCATTTAGGCTGTTTCTTTTTGGCTAGAAATACCTTGAATAATTATTTGAACGATGGAAAAAACCCAAAAGAACTGATCTAATATACCAGGCACGCCTTTAATATTTAACTTATTGTTTTTTGTTTCCTGCATAGATTTCATTTCTTTATTTTTTATGGTGTAGTGGACTATTTCATAAAATATGCTAGATTTTTCTGTTAATTGTATTTATTCTAATGTAAATCAATTTCCTTTTTTTTTTTTTTGCTTATTTATATCTTTACCGATTTTATTTGTAAACAATGTTGAGTTTATATCTTCTTTTTTTGTATATTTTTTTCTTTACATTTTTCTGCTCATTTTTTATTCCTTTATTCTTGTTCATTTTGTCTGAAATTACGGTACGTATTACTACAGGAATTTAATTTTTAACTTATTGTTTTGTTTTGTTTTTTTTCTCCATAGATATCATTTCTTTATTTTTAAGTAAGGTTTAGAGGACTATTTCATAAAATATGCTAGATTTTTCTGATAATTGTATTTATTCTAATGTAAATCAATTTCCTTTTTTTGCTTATTTATATCTTTACCGATTTTATTTGTAACCAATGTTGAGTTTATATCTTCTTTTTTTGTATATTTTTTTCTTTACATTTTTCTGCTCAGTTTTTATTCCTTTATTCTTGTTCATTTTGTCTGAAATTACAGTACGTATTACTACAGGAATTTAATTTTTAACTTATTGTTTTGTTTTTTTTTCTCCATAAATATCATTTCTTTATTTTTAAGTAAGGTTTAGAGGACTATTTCATAAAATATGCTAGATTTTTCTGATAATTGTATTTATTCTAATGTAAATATTTTCTTTGGTGTTTGATCAGCCTTCTCAGTTTAAATATACTTTCCTAAAGGTAGATTGGGGATGAGGCCATGAAGACAGAAACAACATTTATTTTCTTGTCAAGCTTTCGGCAGAATATATCGCCTTCATCAGGACTTCGAAAAAAATCGTTATTTTTTATATATTTTATAAATATATGATATTATATTTATTACCTTTGTTTATCGAAGGTGGGCTCTACCGGCTATCCGTTATCTACACACATGTACCTGTTCATATAATATAACGATTTTTTTCGAAGTCCTGATGAAGGCGATATATTCTGCCGAAAGCTCGACAAGAAAATAAATGTTGTTTCTGTCTTCATGGCCTCATCCCCAATCTACCTTTAGGAAAGTATATCTAATGTAAATCAATTTCCTTTTTTTGCTTATTTGCATCTTTACCGGTTTTATTTGTAATCAATGTTGAAATTATATCTTCTTTTTTTTCTATATTTTTTCTTTACATTTTTCTGTTTATTTTTTATTCCTTTATTCTTATTAATTTTGCCTGGAATTACAGGTACGTATTACTACAGGAATTTAATTTTTACCTTATTGTTTTTTTTTCTCCATAGATATCATTTCTTTATTTTTTATTTTTAAGTAAGGATTAGTGGACTATTTCATAAAATATGCTAGATTTTTCTGTTAATTGTATTTATTCTAATGTAAATCAATTTCTTTTTTTTTGCTTATTTGTATATTTACCGGTTTTATTTGTAATCAATGTTGAGTTTATATCTTCTTTTTTTCTATATTTTTTTCTTTACGTTTTTCTGTTTATTTTTTATTCCTTTATTCTTATTAATTTTGCCTGGAATTACAGGTACGTATTACTACAAGAATTTAATTTTTAACTTATTGTTTTTGTTTTTTTTCTACTTAGATATCATTTCTTTATTTTTTATTTTTAAGTAAGGTTTAGTGGACTATCTTTTCAAATTGCTAGATTTTTCTGTTAATTGTATTTATTCTAACGTAAATCAATTTCCTTTCTTTGCTTACTTTTATCTTTCCCGGTTTTATTTGTAACCAGTGTTGAGTTTATATCTTCTTTTTTGTGGATATTTGTTTCTTTACATTTTTCTGTTCATTTATTATTCCTTTAAACTTATTAATTTTACCTGGAATTACTTGCAGGAATTAGTACAGGATTTGATTTTTAACTTATTGTTTTTTGTTTTCTTCTGCATAGATTTCATTTCCTAATTTTTTTTAAGTAAGGGTTAGTAGACTATTTCTTAAAATTTGCTAGATTTTTCGGTATATTTTATTTATTCTAATGTAAATCAATTTCCTTTTTTTTTTGCTTATTTTTTTACCGGTTTTATTTGTTACCAATGTTGAGTTTATCACTTTTTTTTCTTTACATTTTTCTGTTCATTTTTTATTCCTTTAGTCTTATTGATTTTACCTGGTATTACAGGAACGAAATATTATAGGAATTTGATTTTTAATTTAATGTTATTTGTTTGCTTCATAGATTTCATTTTTTATTTTAAAATAAGGATTAATGGACTATTTCTTATAATGTGCTAAATTTTTCTGTTATTTTCATTTATTCTAAGGTAAATCAATTTCTTTTTGGCTTATTTGTATCTTTACAGGCTCCTTTATTCTTATTAATTTTTATTTTATCCATTAATGTAAGTTACTTTGCATATTTAGGTTTTGCTTTCTTAATTTTATTTCATATACTTATAGTTAGATATATACTTTCGTATGCTTTGCCTTAGTTTTTATATTTTTCTATTGTTCTAAATATTATTAATGTAAATAAAAGTCTCTCTCTTTCTCACATACACACTCTCTCTTTCTCTCTCTCTCTCACTCACTCTCCATTCTCTCTCACTCTCTCTCTCTCTCTCTCTCACTCTCCCTCTCCCCCTCTCTTTCTCTCTCTCTCTCCCTCTCTCTCTCTCTCTCTCTCTCTCTCTCTCTCTCTCTCTCTCTCTCTCTCTCCCTCTCTCTTTCTCTCTCTCTTTCTCTCTCTCTTTCTCACTGTCTCTCTCTCTCTTTCTCTCTCTCTCACTGTCTCTCTCTCTCTCTCTCTCTCTCTTTCTCACTCTCTCTCACTCACTCACTTCCCTCTCTCTCTCTCTCTCCCTCACTCACTCACTCAGTCACTTCCGCCCCCCCCCCTCTCTCTCTCTCTCTCTCTCTCTCTCTTACTCTCTCTTTCTCTCTCTCTCTCTCTCTCTCTCTCTCTCTCTCTCTTTTATGAAAATATTTGGAACAATCTTGTTTACTTCATAACTCCCGTTAGCTACTGACAATGGTTTTTCATTATTGAATCACTTTTATGTAAACAGAATGAAAATACGATTTTTTTCCTTTGTTATGGAGAATACCAGTAAATAATTCCTTGTCGGTGCAGATACTCCAGAGCTAATATAATTTCTGATCGCTGAAAACTTTAAAAAAATAAATTAGAAAAAAATATGTATTGTTAAATTATGTTTGACCCATCATTGAAAAACGTACCAAGCAGTGTCTTCTAAAAATATCCTTTCCATTTCCAAATGTTTGAAAAGCACCACTTAGACTGAAGAATGAGATAGAGCTTTCCACCCGTTTGAAAAGCGAATATTAAATCTACAAGGAATGGGTGCTAAAAGAAAAAATCATAATTAAATTAATAAAATACGCAAAAAAAACAATAATAAAAAGTGCTGTGTCCTTGTTTCTCATGATGGAAGCCTTTTTGAGGTCTTTCATGGCAAAGATCATCCCGGCATCCCGGTGATTTTCCTCACTTGGAACCCCCAAATCTACCCTTACCGAGAACTTTCCTCAACTCGAAATCCTGAGGTCCTGTTTTCCCCAGACCATGGTTTACTGTCTGCTCTCATAACAGGACAGTTACATCATCAGAACTGCAATAATATCCATATTAAAATTAATTTTATTGTCACATAAATGACTAAACTATGTGAAGAAATATTATCATTCCAAAGATATTATATCGCTCTAGTTGCCATGCAGAAGACAGCGAAATGAAATTTACATGCCCATAACAAGATTATATGTTTCAGTAGAACAGTATAATCCAGCATCTGGCGAACTTTTGGTTAGTGTGAATGTTTACTCGGGCAGAATGAAAAGAATTTTTGTATGGTTGATATAAACCTTCAACAATTACATGTTATTATCTCTGCTTCCAGCTGGTTCCAATTAGCCATAAAAGAGGAGAACAAATCACAACATTGAAGGATTGTTTAACACCTATCCAAAATAAATATTTTTTGTAATTACTCAAAAAATGTATCAAAGAAATTTGAATGTCAGCAGCTTTTTTATTTCCTGATGTTTTTAAATTCATTTATTATTGGAAGTGTAGGTTATTGTATATTGTGTATAAATTTTGTTCATTTCTGACAATGGAGGGACTAATCTTCTAAATTAATAGATTTTGCTTTATTAACCATAGTTTATTAACTAAGTTATTAAGCCTTCTCCTGAACCTAAGTTAAACGTAAATCTTATAAATCAAAGTGTAAGTTGTGTGAAAGTTCCCCTTGAGTAAAGTTGTACACGAAAACCTTCCTTCATCTCGATGAACAGGCTTTTTAAAACTTTGGTTAAAAATTATCAACCCTTTGGAAATTTAGCATGACGGATGGGAATATTTACGCTTAGTTCGCGAACGGTCTGCTTTACGATTTTGTCCCGATGACAGCGGATTTTCCATCCTGTCAAAAAATGACTGACGTGACCAGGTGGCCGATCCGGCAAATCGCATATCTCGTCAAGATATCGGACAATGGTGAGAGGACTGACCCTGTCCAGGAAGTTAGGGGCCGCTTTGCTCTATTCACAGACGTGAGCCCTGTTGCGACCTTTCCGTATTATATTTAGTACCAGGTGATCCACCTCCACAACCGGCCCCGAAGGCTCGTCTTTCCTATTGTTTTAGCAGGACACCACGAGTGGCTCCCGGATCAACTTGTAGGTCAGTGGTACTGTGATTATCATCGAGAAAGGGTTAATTTTCCCATCGTAATAGAGATCAAACGAGTCGGTCCAAAAATGAGTCGAAGGAGTCTTAGAGCATTGGGGTAAGATATACTATTTATTTCTATTTAGTGTTTAATTTGTGTAAAACGCAAATATATAATTTGTATTCTATAAATATATAACAAAATCATAATAAAAGCTCCTATCGAATGACTTTAGTAAATTTTCCATTATACACCCACGTTTAATCATTGATAGCGTCATTACTTTTATGAAACAAGAAATACTCTAAGTTTTATGTAAAAAAAGAGATTTATATTTTATTTAGTATCATTTAAATCTTGGCTTCGAATTTTACTGAAATAACTAGCCTTTAAAGAATACAGCCACCTAGGTTCAACAGATTATCCTGTTCTTCAAATTTTTGTGTTGTTAATTAAGAAAGTTACGAATTACTAACCATCAAACTTTCTAATTGAACCACGAATTCTTGTCAATTAATTAATCTTTAATTAATTGAAATGAATTTATTTGGTCAAGGGACCACGAAACCTAATAAATATAATAAGCAAAATGAAGTATACTTCACTAAAGCTCTACGTGGTGTTTTCATATCTCGACGAGAATCAAATAGATTACACGACATTTGAGAAATGGCGAAAAGGAAGGAAAATTCAAAAGGTGGGGTTGAGAAGGGAAGTTAGTTTCTGAGTGGATCGAAGTCACGATAGCGCAAGTGGTAGAGCAGCGCCGTATTTAGCCGAAGGTCGTGGGTTCGAATCCCGCTCGTGACACTAATTTTTAACCCATTTACGTTTTCGAAGTCAACTGACCAAGTATCATCTTTCAATCTATTGATTATTCTTTCTAAGTTCTTGGATGAGATAAAGAGGTCCGAGAGGATCGAAGTCACGATAGTTCAAGTGGTATAGCAGCGGCGTATTTAGCCGGTGGTCGTGGGTTCAAATCCCGCTTGTGACACTCACATTTTTATCTCAACCAAAACTTTAATTAAAGATTAATTAATTGAAAATATAAAATTAAAGATTATATTTTTTACAAACTGCAAAAATATAGTTTGTAAAGAATGATGAAATAGTTAATATTGAGACTGCTAACCCACCGTTAATCAGGCTCAAATCCAACCTTCTAAAACAGAAATTTATCAACAACCTAGAAATTATGTGACTCACTTGTGATGATAACATAAGAACATTGAAAGATTGATAACTAGTCGACAATCACGCTAATAAATACCATCAATCACACTAAACATTTAAAAAACACATTAATTATCGACAACTATATACAGTTTCTATTTATTTTAAATAATAAAAACATGAAATTATCTCACTTTTCAGTTTAATTATAATACAATTAATTAAGGTTTTTAGTTGAGATAAAAAAGTCAATGGCACGAGCGGGATTCGAGCCCACGATCTTCGGCTAGATACGCCGCTGCTCTACCACTTGAGCTAACGTGACCTCGATCCACTCGGACACTAACTTCCCACCTCAACCCCACCTTTTTGAATTTTCCCTCCTTTTTGCCATTTTTCAAATGTCGTGTAATATAATAAAAAATGGCAAAAAGGAGGGAAATTTCAAAAGGTGGGGTTGAGGTGGGAAGTTAGTGTCCGAGTGGATCGAGGTCACGTTAGCTCAAGTGTTAGAGCAGCGGCGTATCTAGCCGAAGATCGTGGGTTCGAATCCCCCTCGGACTGACTTTTTTATCTCAACTAAAAACCTTAATTAATTGTAATAACGAAATGTATGGTGATTAGTGACCGTTAATTGATAATTATTCCGAAATCGTGGGATGCGGTCTGGTGTGATGGAGGTTTCAGAAAAACATTTTCTTTACCTTGCCAACGTTTCGATCTTTATTGAGATCATCTTCAGGGCCTGGGATTTACAAACATTGTTTACATTTCATTTGTAGCCGACAATCCAATCCGATTACACGACATTTGAAAAATGGCAAAAAGGAGGGAAAATTCAAAAGGTGCGGTTGAGATGGGAAGTTGGTGTCCGAGTGGATCGAGGTCACGATAGCTCAACTGGTAGAGCAGCGGCGTATCTAGACGAAGATCGTGGGTTCGAATCCCGCTCGTGCCACTGACTTTTTTACCTCAACTAAAAACCATAATTAATTGTAATAATTAATTGGTCAAGCGGACCACAGAAATTATTGAATTTATTTATAATTCTTATGTCGCTTCGCATCTATACTTGCTCCCTATATGGCGCCAAGAAATTTCGCTTTTCAACCACGTTTAACCATCGACGCCATATTCCTTCATCTTTCTTATAAGAAACAAACTATACAATAGTAGAATGTTAGAGTCGGTGATTTAGTTATTATGCCCTTCTGTTAATATACAATCACGCAAATAAATACATACTAACTTACAATACATATAAGGACATATCAGGCGACACTTCAATCATGTTCAACCACCAAATATGACGACTCTGTTTTCATCAAGCTTAACGGCTAATATAAAAAGAGTCAAAAAGACACTAAAAATACTTTTCATTTGAAACTGCTGTGACCGATTGACCCCGGCCCGACTTTTATTTGCCACGGTATCGGTTATAAATTCGAATTTATTTGGAGGAAAAAATTGTGAAAACGTTCTGGCCTCTCATGTATCTTAGGTAGCATCGAGGTAGGTTTTCAATATTCACGCTAAGAAATACTTTCAGTCATACTAGACATTGAAAACATACGAAAAACTTTGATCGTACTTTTGATACAATAGTAGTATGGTTGAGATATTTTCTCGAGAAATCAGAACAGGGGATCCAAAGGCATGTTATTATGATCAAGCACAATTCGCATACTATGGTACATTATTTGAGAAAATCCTCCATGCCCAAGACCATCCGCCATGGCTGGTAAAGTGCAAGAGTTACTGTAGTCTATATTCACTCTAATAAGTACTTTCATTTCAACCAAATCTTTGCATAAAAAGATTAATAAATTGAAAGTATTTTGGTAAGTAATTTGGTCAGTAGACCTCTAAATGTAATGGATTAATAAGTAAAACGAAGTATAACTTCACTAACAGCTCCCCAGGGCCACTTCATGTCGGCGAGAATCGAATCCTGTTTACACAGATTTGAAAAATGGCAAAAAGGAGGGAAAATTCGAAAGATAGGTTGAGATGGGGAGTTGGCGTCCGAGTGGATCGAAGTCACAATAGCTCAAGTGGTTCGAGCAGTGGCGTATTGAGCCGAAGGTCGTGGGTTCGAATCCCGCTCGTGACACTAACTTTTCATTTCAACCTAAACCTTACATAAAAAGATTAATTAATTGAAAGAAGTAATTTGGTCAATAGGCCACTAAATATAATGGATCTAATAAGTACTTCGATCCCAAGAAACTTTGAACGTATAAAAAATCGATTATGTACAACACATATAGAAGAAGATATTTTCTCAAAAAAACAAAAAAAACACTATGCTGTGTTCAAGCACGATTCAATAAATCCTTCATTGCCTTATAAATAAGCTATGCAACTATTTTAAAATAAGGCCGACGAGGAAGTCTATGAAAAGATCAATGAGGAAGTCGATATTCACGCTAATAAATAGTTTCAATAACACGAATCATTGAACAACAACTGCACAGAAGATGTTTTCTCAATCAAATCGACACAAGGGACCCAAAGCCTGGTTGCAGTAATCAAGGACAATTCTCATATCGTGTGGCATTTCTACAACCTCCCTATCAGGAGCCGAGGAATGGCACCATGTTCAATTTGGACGATTACATACTCTATTTTCATTGGAAAACCTCCTCATACAATATAACTAATCTAAGCACTAAACCTAAAGAGCGGTAGTTTTACCACATTTTGTGGTCCTCCGGGCCGGATTACGATTTGTTTCGCCCAAGTAGAAAAACGCACTGTATTTAACTGAAGTAAATAAAGACCTGTTTTTTTGGATGTATTGAAATTTTAAATTTAAATTTACACAAAAATACCTCTTATCCGTACTACTAAATAAAGCAGAGCTCGAATTTTAAAGATTATGTGGAGATCGTGAGGAGCGGTCTGGTGTGACGTAGGTTTTAGAAAAACATTTTCTTTATGGTGCCAACGTTTCGATCTTTATTGAGATCATCTTCAGAGCCTGGGATTTATAAACATTGTTCAAATTTTACAAATATATGTAGGATGTGAGAAAAAAAGGAAAAAATGAATTTATACAATGCTAGAAATTTTATATTTCATCGAAGTATTTGTACTCACTCAAAATACTTCGATGGAAGCTAAAATTGCTATCATTGTTTAAATTCATTTTTTTCCACATCCTACATGTATTGGTAAAATTTAAACAATGTTTATAAATCCCTGAAGATGATCTTAATAAAGATCGAAACGTTGGCACCATAAAGAAAATGTTTTTCTATAACCTTCGTCACACCACATCTCACGATCTCCTAATAATCATTAACTAATGGTCACTAACACCACTCAAATTTTGACATTAGTATTTTATATATTTGTTTCGTGTAAAATTGTTAGTATGACACTACAAGAATTGCATTTCACTATATGCCCTGAAGATGACCCGAATAAAGGTCGAAACGTTAGGGAAAAAATGAAAAAGTGTTTTTCTAAATGCTTCCTTCCTGACTGTTCATCACATCAGCAAATTATTGAACAACCGGTCACTAAAACACACACTCAAATTTTAACGTAGATTGTTTGGAAAAATAGAAGACAGTGCAGGTTAAAACGGTTCGCTTTACTTTCAATATTATTTACCTTTAAAAAAAATTTATTACCTTAAAATATTTTATTGTTTTAAACGGATAGTTTCCTGTTCTATGAAAAAACATAACCTAGTTTAACCGGATATCTCGTGTGTTCGGCTTGTAGATCGTGGTGCTAGGTGTGCGGAGTGGGTTCTTATGATCCAATTATAGAAAGGCCTCGTAACGCCAAACCATTGGCATTTCTTCATTGGAAACACCTGTGAAATAACTCTGCTCGACCGGACCGAAAAGGTTCGACATTTTGACCAACATTTTGCAAACATTTTTTCAATACTACAATGAACAACCTATTCAGGCTTTGTTTCAATT